TTTTTTTTTGTCATACGTGGTTAGTTTTTTATTTCCTATAATAATCCAATTTTATTACCGTCTTAGGTGCGAAATGTTTTGTTGACGATGATTCGTGTCGACTGGATATACACAATATTATTATTAAGTACAATAATATTATTTACTTAATCATTTTTCAGAATGTATTCTCTCGAGTGGCAAGGGTGTGCAAAAACGATCGCGGTGGACCACAACAGCTCAAAAACCGGTGGACATCGTATCTGAAGTCTCGTCTCAACTGTTCCGTACCTGGCGAATTTCCATTTTACTTCAATGAAATACGTGAGTATTTCCAGCGACGACGTATAAGAAACTTGACTTTGTTTATAATTTAGTTACTGCAGACGTCTTTTGTCAGGGTTTTTTCTTTCTGTGTGTATATATTAYATTATATATACCCGCCTAGTTTCTCAAGTTAGAAAATACAAATAGTTGACGGAATACGTCATGGAATTAATAATTTATTAAAAATTGTTCAAAAATATCTCAAGTAATAAATTCCACAGTTATTTAATAAGGCAGGCCWCAAGAAAACATAAGTTAGAAATAAATGTTTACCCGCTAATAACGAAATACAAACGAAAGCATCCAAATTTTGTACCTAGGTATATAATTCTAAAACGTAATACCTTACCGCTACAATAATACTAAAGTACAGAACGTACAAAGGTAAACATTAATCAAAACTCTTAAAACCGCGTTTATCATATATGTACATAAGCTCTATCGTTTCTTAATAAGTCTTTCTTTTATAGTCGAAAGATAATTCATTTTAATGATTTATCAAACGTTTAATTTATAACTTTAAATTAATGTATTATTATATATAATTTACATTATAAATATAGTGTCCAGTCCTTATAGTACACTATGTTATATAGTTAATTCTGAATGCATTTTAAGGATTTTCGATTTGAGATAAATAACCTTTATTAAACTGTGACGTCATAATAACTTTGTTATTATATATCATTATATCTGAGTTATAATCATATAAAATGAAATATGACTGAATCTAGCATAATAATTTATTAAATATAATTATTATAATATTGATCTATTTGGTGCATTGTATAAATATAGTTTAATTTGATGCCCAACATATTATTGTGTATGATGGTTACTGAAAATGTATATAGGTTCATTCGTATAATAAATACAATGCAGGTAATTTCTCGTTTATGGCTTAAATAAACCATATTTTATTCAAAGTGTTAACTCCCTTATTCACATTTCATTGCGATCTCTTTACGATTTGTCTTAATATATGACTTTCTGTTTCTAGTTGTCTAGTTGATCGTTTAAAATATTCTGATAAATATACAGGATACAAATTATATTGTTATTTTGTTGGTTGAATAATAGTATGTTATTATAATCAATCCATTGTATATATGTTATTGTATATATTTGTTTACTTACATATATATGTATAACCATATATTTTTTTCTACTACTATAACCTTAAAGGACATTTTTCATGTGAAAAAAATTGATTAGAAATGAAAGTAGAAACAATGCGGTTATATTTGATATTATCGTACTGCTTACTCCTTAAGGACATGAAAGAAAATAATCGTTTGAGGTGATTTTATTATGAATAAAAAGTCACGTTTTGTGTGCCCAGYGGAAAAGTAAAACAGACGAATAAGTAATTGAACTGAAACTGAAGTTTTCATAGAATAACTTTTTGAACATCGTGTTCTGTTCGTTACTACACCATTCNTTTGAACATCGTGTTCTGTTCGTAACTAATGACCTAGCTAGCTGAAAAAAAAAAAAAATAATAATAATAATAGTAATAATAAAAACAAGATAAAATAAATAAATATATAAAAACCTCGAGAAAGGAAAACGGTCTATTTTTTTTCCCTAAACTAATTATTATTTTTCATTTTCCTTAAACCAACGAGGGGAAAAAAGTCCACCGCTGCCATTATATGAAACGAATAAAATACTTAGAGAGGCAGAAACAGAGAAAGAGATATGGGGTTTTCACCCGCGGAAAAATTATTCGAGCACATTAAAGGTTACCCGCTTATGCATGGTTTTAATTATAAAACCACTTTCGCCTTGCTGAACTTCTTTTGTTCTCACTCCGTCTGTCTTTCTCTCACGTGCTCGGCCTTTATGTGTCTCCCTTTGCACTTCTTCGCTCGCGATATATGTACGGCAGTTAAAGCTACAGCGTAAGTACAATGACGAATGTATTAATATAAACGTTCAACCGTTCGTGTAGATATTATTCAGCGTCGAGTCAATAAAATTAACACAAAACACTTAGGTGCCTACTACTTTTTCCTGCTCATATATATACCAARGTACATTATCTCGTTTCGAAATTCGGTTATTGACCAACCGACCATCAAATGTAACGATTGTCATTGCGAGACCTCTGAAGCGTCTTCTGCAACTTTTGACTGAGATAAGAATTGTATATTATTTGTATTCCGGCGCGATGTATTGTAATTTTCGGTAGTATAATAAACTGACGCGTTTGATATTTGATATTTACACAAACCGAAATTAACCAACAAAAATAAAAAATTGAATTTTACGTGGTAAAAAAAAGTGATAATCATGAAATAATAAGGAATATAATTAATAAGCACTAGTTGTTTATTCTTATCAACAGTTTATCGGCGACACTTCAGGAAYCATATTTAATGTTCTTATCATAGTTCGTTGTGCAGTATATATTCAATCGTGGTATCCACTAAAATTATTATATAATACCATCGAACATAATTTAAATTGCCCTTCTCATATTGTGTCGGAAGTACCAACTATTATTATGAAATGTACCTACCTACCATATTATTATAACTATATGACCGCATTTCTGCTATATAGTCGTATATTACTTAATATGATGTTCAATATTGATTTATTCTATATAAATTCAATTATGTTTTCATACATATTTAGTTAAGTTGTGTTCATTCGTTAATTTCAATTACTGTGAGTATTGTGTTAATAATTTTGCAGACGATTGCAAACAAAAAACTACTTAAAACTACTAAMACAAACAATTTCAAATAGTAACTGCCGAAAAATAATTAAACTATTAACTTAATTGTCAGAGTAACTATATTATATTATTTTGCACTTCATAAATTATACTTATACAAAATGTGTTACTGTAATAAATAATAAAGTTATACACGCATACCTTTAAAGGAATTGTTTTTTTTTTTGGTAAAAATTTAATTTTTCGTAATCTGAAAAACTAAATTATTGTTGCTTTTGAACTGCACTGAACGTAATATTGTAAACGAATAATAATTATTATTTAGTACAATATTCTTGTTTACACAATTAAACTTATCTGTATTTCAGAATGTCGTTATTATGTGCATTGAAATAGATAGGTATTAATTTTGTGACATTATTTATCAAACGTTGTCGTCCGATATATCAGTAGACATTTGAATTCAAAACACATCACATATTAATGTGGCTTGACATTTTTTTTTTTTAACATAATATTTTGTATTTTAGGGAAACAGCGATAGCCGGGTCGTACTGCCGGATGATAGATATTCTACATAATATATATTATTATAATATTCTCTCATTCTCTGAGTATTTCTATCGACACATAGTGTTTACTGGATGCTCAAATTGAATTTGTGCACAGAATTATTTCAAGTACACCGACTGTCCCTTATAGCAGTGCACATTATATAGAAAAAATTTTTGGATACACAATGTATGCGGTGGYGTGTGCAGACGAACGAAATTCAAAACTTGCCGATTCACCGTATAAAAATATCATAAATGTTATCATCGTTAATATTCAGACACAATGTATAGTGTAATAATATGATAACATATTTTGTGTGATGAAACGTGTCAACGACCGGACTGCTAAACACAAAACACAAAAAAAAATGATAAATTGAATTTTAGCCTGAGCTCGTAGATAATACGTGCAGGATACAATGTTACGGATATAATTCTGCCTAGAATATAATAATAATATAATAACATCTTGTTTTCTTAGAGGCGCCCTCTCCGCCGCGGCTCAATAATATACGCTGTGCCATGTGTGTGTGCCAAAGCTCGATTTTCTTCAGTRCCTAATGCAATTTCGTATTCCCCTCGAGTCTGGATAGGGGATAACGGCTGCACCGATCCTACTGTATGCGGCGCATTACGGTACATAATAATATATTGTAATCGCGACGCACGTGCACACTCTGTATATATTTTACACTACAAAGCTATGTTTATTATAATATATAACGAAAAAAAAAAATCGAACTCGTATATACCCCGTAGGTTAGGGTTAGGTTACTACTCTGTTGTGCTGCAGTGCTCAAACAGTTTCTGTTTTCTTCTTGCAACTCCAATCATTGTTCTTGTAATATGATATTATAAACTCTATAAAAATATTCTAATAGTACAAGGAGTGATTCACTAAAGAACAGGATCGCGGCGTCGCCTGTTTATTAACTTTAATTTATTAATGATTGTTGTGTTTTTGTATGACCTAATACTGATTTTTGAAATTCTTGAGTAACTTCAAAATCATAATACAGTATATTATAACAATAGTTCAAATCGTCTAATTATATAGTAATGGTCATATTATTATTTTTTCATAATATTTGACTACTACTTACATTTTTGTACTTGATGTGTACGTACACTTATGTATAGTTACTGTTTTAGATATGAACACAAAATATTGAAATAGTTGTACTGCAGCATCAATTTTATAATACATTTTTTATATGATGTTTTGARCATCTCGAATACCGGATTCCTTTATTCCAATGCTTATATAAGTGTTTAGTATTTCTTTTAATATGATAAGTGATTTATTTAAATCRSCTTCCCTTTGAATTACGGTCCAGTAACATCCTCGAATAAGAGGCAAGATATTTATGTGGAATTGACGTTTAATAATATACATTTTTAAGTAGGTACGTCCCGCATTAAGTAGACTGTAAACAATTTTTAACTTCGGCGTTCGAGTGTTCAAAAGATAGGCCACTCAAAAACCACTTAATCAGCCAAGTGTGTCCAAACTCGCATGTAACATATACACACTTAGTAAAATAATACGTATCCACATACAAGACTTYGATCGACTCAATTTTCAACAATCATTATACTATTCACGTGCCGCAAACTTAATTATTTGGGGCATGGTTTTTTTTTATATATATACCCGTTTGATGTGAAGGAGGATTATATTTTTTTTTATCAGCTCATTAGTATCGGCTACACTGACCCGAAAGAGTATTGATTATGTTCTACAAACAGTTGAGTCACATTAGTGAATCAATCTGAATCTCTGTGTAGACGTATGATTATGATTGGGAAATTCCTGTAAACGTAAATGAACTGGCAATCCTGGAGAAGAATATTATTCCCGAAAATGACCGTGGGTATTTGATCGATTCACGATACCTAATAAATTATTTTTTTATCAATTATTATTTTAAAATATAATGTCTTTATTTCAAATGTTTTTTCAAAAATGTTCATTTCAAATGTTTAAAAAAAAAAAACAGAACTATCTTCAAAGTAAAACTTCAACTAATTTGTTATTTTTTTTTTCAATCTATTAAACACTCATAGTAAAAACACAATAAAATAAACATTTAACAAAAACAATAGTCGTATTATCATTGTAAATTGTATTGTATTATATTTATTCATGTGATAGATTAAAATATTACATTAAATCAACTATGATATTATGTTGGATAAGAACACGTAGTAGGTACTAACACTTCCAATCCACTTATCTATTAGTAGATATTGAGTTACTTATAACAGATATTTACTTAAAATAATTAATTAGGCAGTTAAAATATTTACCTACTGCAAYAATAAAGCTGTAAATTTAAAATCGAAATCTTCGTAGTTGTAGGAATCTTACAAATATTTCTTTCTGGTGATCTTAATAAGAGGTATTTATCAAAACACACAATTATAAATATAATAATAGTAAAAATATGCGTCGATTGTATTTAACGACGTTATAGAAAAATGGATGTAGTTTWAAAAAAATTACGTATGACTGAATTGACACGTTACAACAGTTKTAAATTTATGTATAACTAATAATTTGATAAAGTCACTTGTCACTCAATGCAGTAAGTTATTATGTGGTTATCAGTGACGTGGTGTTATAGTAACGGTGTGTCATAAAATATAAATTATTTCGACTATCAAGACCAAAAACCGGTATATATTTTGTACAAAATATTTTTCCTATCAAGTTAAACAAACGTTAAATAATAGTTGAATAACATATCAAAACGATTCCCATTATTTAATTTTTCCATAAATACCGTTGCTCTATTACAGTATATAAAATATAATTTTAATTTAAGTTTATGAAATAGGTTCTCTATTATTTGAAAAAAAAAAATTGTAAGATATAAGATTTTTTTTGCATTTCCAAAAACGGCACCATTCTTGGACCATCTAGAAATCTACAGGAACGAGAATTTTTATAGGAACCTCTTGATTCAGAGATCTATAATATTAACTGATATCCACTAAAAATATTGACAATTTTAAAATTTATTAGTAAAATCTAACAAATTTTTGATGAGGATACGTTATGAAAATATGTAAAGCATTATTATAAACTTTTGGTGACATCAATGTTATTATTTAAGTATAGTGTTCTACTACTTTCAACGATTACTTTTTAAACATTTTTTTCTGCTATTGTGTTAGGTTTTATTTTACCACCCGTTTATTTATGGACTATTGACTCTTTACCGTGTCTACTAGTCCATTTGTTATATTAAATATACGTCTTGTTAATGTATATACATTTAGTTTAATAACATGGATTTATTAATATCGTTCATTATGCATATAAATTWATTTAATTATAGTCGCAGTTCAGAGGTATATTTTTAATATTTAATATTAATATATTAATGTATAGTGATTATACAAATTTCCTCAGAATACGGTTATTATTTTCATTCTGATATAAACACCTAGACGTAATTAATATACTTATACCTATGTCGATTATTTGGTCGACTATTTTAGACTTAAAATATATTTAACCTATACTTACATCAATCGAATATAAAATACTCAATTATAAATCAATAATATGTTGAATTAAAATCTTGCAATTTAAATTTTTGGTAATTCCGAAATTCTTTCAATAAAATGTCTCTTCACTTGCCCATCATTATAAAYCTGTTGCCCATCGTACAACACGACGTGCATTGTTGTAAATAATTATGTTATATATTGTATAATAAAAATTGCACAAATTTAATTTGGAATCTATGGTTGCAAATATTATAACCTTTTAAATTTAGGTATAACCTTTTTTGTCCCTCTCCCATTGAATTTTGATTTGATTTTTGATTTATACTTACAATTTTAGGARCGCTTGGTACTTACATACGCGTGTGATTGTATGTACTAGAATTATTTTAACGCAGTTAACGCATATTTACGATATAGGTACGTYGCAGTAACAATATATAATGAACCCCATAACATCAACATTACAATACATTTTGTCGTGTCTATGTTTTTATTAATTTGTTTCCTCTCTGCAGAATCGTCGACAGACCTGGTGCAAGGTGTCTATGGGACCAAACAGCATTTCATGATGTACGGCGTGTTCACAACACCGGTAAACAGTATCACGGGGTCGGCGGTGTGCGCTTTTTCACTGTCTGACGTGCTCGACTCGTTCGAGGGTGAGTTCAAGGAACAGACCTACATGAACAACAATTGGCTACCAGTACCCGGGTCCAAGGTGCCGGACCCCAGACCTGGCCAATGTGCCAACGATTCCCGGACACTGCCTGACCTCACGTTGAATTTCATCAAAAGCCATTCGCTGATGGACGAAGCAGTCAGGTCGTTCTACCAACAGCCAATCATCGTCCGCACGAGTGTCAAGTAAGTGTTACCGCCTTACCACACATACCACAGTGTTGGTGTTTTCACGTATGTGTTATCTAAATATATAGTAGCATTGCCTGATCGTTATTTTTGATTTGATTTTCTCTATTTGCGTTCGTCTCCGCTCACGCAGTTATAGGTTCACGGTGATCGCAGTGGACCCGCAAGTGAAAGCCATCGATGGGAAGACCTACGACGTCCTCTTTATCGGAACAGGTAAAATCAAAGATTTAACTTTGGGACTGTATCCACAATATTATAAAGTTAAGATGATCAATCCTAGTTGTGGGGTATACCGTATGTATGATATGCAACCGCGTGCGATTGAAAGCACGAGGTTTCAAATTCACTCGATGGGATGGGCCTACGAATGTCACGTGTCCTGGCTAGTCCCTATTGTACAAACCCTACCACAGTGTTTCAACTGAAAGCTCCGATAATATCAATGAAGTCTTTTAGAAGCCCCTTTTGGGTGGTATTCACTGTTCTAGTGTTTTGTAAGAATGCATTGTTCCTGCATTTAGAAGGCATTCACTGTTATCTTCTCTGTATTGCTGTTACGTCAAACAGTATAATATACAATGTGAGGATTCCTATTTACTCCTATTTTTATTTTCATATTTAGGTCATTGATAACTTATTATTATACTGCTGTATGAATCAATTATAATTATCATAATTAACACACGCATCATTGTGCTTTCAGTACAACACTGTATACCTTGTGTATAGTAATAAATCTTTGTTCACATTAACGTCTGTTTATTTAAAACAATTTTAGATGTTTTAAAATTTACATTAACTTTCAATCTCGCTCTTTAATTATTACGCYGCTGTTTAATATAACGTTATAATACATAAGCGTTTATTATATACCTACTTATATAATATATATATATATATGTATTAACGACTAAACGATTTGATTTCGCATGACTGTATGTTGTTGATATGTAGATGGTATTACGTGGTAAACTCACTGGGGTGTTTGTTTCACGCCATGAAAGTGATTACCTATAATATATAATATGAGCATAATATTACGCTCTGCTTACACTGTCGTTAATCCGTTTAGTTTCCAATCGTCTACACTTTCGAGTGTCTGACTTCGTGGCGCATTCACTATAATATTATTATGGCATCGTTATAATATTCTATATCTATATGTAATTATGATTACTATTTCAATACACTTAAAATACGCCGTGATGTATATATAAAGGTCACGACATCGCCAAGATTTGTTGGGTCTTACGTTTGAACCAGATAGAAATAATATATTCCTCGACGATTTGTGATGTGTGCCCCGCGTATACATAGCGACGCTGTTTTTATGTATATGTATATAAWCGTSTATTCGACATTGTAGATAGCGGAAAAGTACTGAAAGCAATAAACGCGGCCAGCGCGGACACCAACGAAAAAGTGAGCCCGGTGGTCATCGAAGAGCTGTACGAGTTTGGCGGTCCCGGCACTACCACAGCCGTGCGAAACATAAAACTCGAAGAAAAGAGACTGCTGGTCGTTACCGACAGACAAGTAGTATCGCTTCCACTGGACAGATGTCAAAATGCACTTATAGTCACTTGCGGGTAATTATTATAATAATTATCCGTTATCGTTATGATTTGATAATGAATAATTAATATAATTGTTGTGTATAAAGTCATATTCATCGAATGGATTTAATATTTCTTTGTTGCAACAAACTTTGTATCCACCACACGAGAACATATTTTCTACTCCGTAACTTTTACTCGGTTAAAGTTTTTTTTTTTTTTTTGTAAGTTGGTTAGGTAATCAAAGTTTTGATTATATTTCGTTTGTAATGTGTTTGTATATATGTACCTTGTACCTATGTATAAATTCTTAAATATTTATAYTATTCAAATTTCAACACTTTACTCCTGAACCGTTTTTCAAACAAATAATAAATGTAATATTTTTATTATTAACTTTGGTAAATAGTTTCGAAAATTGCGTAAAGGAGGAAAAAAAACGATAAAATTCTCAAGAAAATTCTTAATAACTTGTACCATGCTGTCGAGTCGTGATAGTCTTAATATTTCGAAAATTCTAACAAATATAATAATAAATTATGCCATAAGACATAAAATAATATATACATATTATTATATATCGAACGTTTTTTTAGAACAAAAACGCAATAATTAATCTCAATCGCCATAGAATTTCTGACAATATGCCTTATAATTTTATTATATATCCCCTGCTATAGTTCTCTTATAGTTGATTGTTATCGTAACCCTGCAGCTGGGCGTTCAAAAATGTCGTATAACAATTATAATGATATAATCCCAAAACCCTGCATCAGCAGCAACCGATAATATTTTAATGACGTTCCGATTCCGTTGTTCTCAGCGAATGCATTGGTCTCCAAGATCCGTATTGTGCATTTGACAAAGTCTACAAGAAATGCCGTTCCATGCGTGAAGTGCCTACCACTCGATGGAACGAATTCATCCAGAACATTCAGACCGGATTACACCACGAATGCCCTTCGGGTGAGAACAAATTAATATATTTCAAAACAACGATATACGGGGTGATTAATTTAACGCATAGTACACTCTTAATTTAAATGAGTGTCTTACGTTTAACGAATCGCCATAAAATACTATTAAATAATAGGTGTAATAAGCGTGAGTTGGTTCAAAGTTACAAGGAACAACAAATATTTCCTTGTAATCACCTCCAATGTCATTCTTGATTTATTTTTGTGAAACAGAAGACTTTGAAATTTAACTGCGTTTTGGGGATAAATTAAAATTAAGTGACTTTTAGTTTTGATTTAACTGTTGAACTTACYTAATAATAAAAATTTATAGTTATCTCTATGCGAGCAAATATGGGTGAAAACTACTTGAAAGTCATTGTATGCTACGCATTTACTTATAAGTTTAACTATAATTTAGAAACAAAAAAAAAATGAATTAGAACTCGCCAAAAATGAACAAAAGCATTTAATTTACATGAATTTACTAATTTTAATTGTGCATTTGACATTTTTAATACTAATATCATAGAACATTAAAAAGATACCATACTATAATAATACCATAAATACTTCATGGCTAATATTATACTTTATTTATTTATTATGCAAAAAAACATATGATTTATCAACTCATAATTTTATATGCTTTATAGTTTATTTTAATATTATTTCATAATAGTAAAAAAAATGCTATRAAGTAAAATTTAAAACTCTATCAAAGTCTAAATTAGTTACCTAGAAATTCTTTATTCATAAATATAAATAAGTATATTTGATAAAACAAAAAATTTTTTGAGGAAATCATCATATATTATGCTTAAAATGTTTAATTTAGCTTAAAAGGTAATCACAATATTTCTTGGATTATATTTAAAAAAAAAATAAACCATTTAAAATTACTGTTACTAAGGATATTGCATGAATAAATAATAATAATTACTGGTTATAGACTGTCCACTGCAGTATAGTATTAACAAAGTATATGCATATGATATATTTCCTGGATGACGATTTTCACTGATAAACACTCATTAAATGGAAATATTGAATTTTTACTGATATAATTTTAATTTTTGAATTATAATATAATACAATTTAAATTTAACATTTCAATGCAGGATGATAATTATATTTTTAAACGACTGACATACATAATATTGTACCAAAATTGACATCAAAGTAATATATAGATAACTAGTTAACTTATATATATATTTATTTATATGTATGTATAACTAATAAGTATATTTAAATGCATATAGTAGTTGTWGAAGATCGTATACAACGCACAAACATTTTATACAATTTCATATACACAGTTYCATTTATTATTCAAGAGTTCTCATTAATAAATTGTTTAATGGAGCTTTTACTTTTCGAGATAATATAAAATATAAGTGTTTACCATTAAAAATTCATTCGATTTTTAACCATAATATTATATTATATTAAAGTTTATAATATAACAGTTATGATTATGTGTCTTTCGCGATTTYTTTAATGATCAATATTCGTTTCCGTTAAGTTAATGCATTTTTTTGTTCGGCCACTTTTTCAGCTTCTAACAGCAGAAAAGACTCGAGCATTGGATTCGCTTCTAACGCCCAGAGCGGCGCTATTGGAAAATCGATCGAAGATGTCGGCGATACGATAAACCTGTCACAAGATGATCAAGCTCCACCATTCGGTGAGTTAAATTATAATAATATGTGCATCGATGCAGTATCCATGTAGTACCTATGGTAATTTTCTTCATTGTACCTAGTATATATTTACCATTCAGGTCATCTCAACCTACCCGGAGCAAAATGTATTCAYAAAAATCCCACTTTTAAATTACCTATGCAATTTTACGTAGGCAAACCATCATATACCATATATTATGATCGATGCCATTGGTATGTRATGTTCGTGTATATGGTATATAATTCATACTGATTTTGGATACATAATATATACAATAGAATATATGAATACCTATATTATACAATATACAGTATGTCTCAAAAGTGCCTGGTTACACCCAAAGTTTCTTMGTGATGGAAAATCGATTTATTCAAACGTGTGGTGTTTTCAACAGTGTAAAAAAATTGCAATTGGCAAAAAGGGTCAAACTGTTTTTGGTACGGTGCATTTTGTTTTATTACAAAACATATACATTCTGGTATACGTTTCTGGCTAATTTTGAAACAACACTTACGTAGGTATACAAGCGTTTCAGATCATATACGCTCTGAGCTATACCTAAAATATATAGCGTCTGCCGTGCATAAATTATGGGGACACGAATTAGAATTACCATACGTTTAAAACGGGATTATTCTTTTTTATAGCATTGCTACCTGCGGTTGCCGTCCCGACTAAATTCCATCAATTTGCTTTTTGTCTTGCAGTTTGTTGTATTTTTTTTTCTCTACATGGTTAAAAATTGTGAACTAAAATTGTTTAAGTGTAAAAAAAAATAACAATTGAACGACGATAATAACTAACTATTTCAATCTAAGATTTCATTAATCATGCGAGCATAATTATAAATGGAATCATTTTTGCACGTATCAATTTACTTACCTACATTGTTTTTTTTTTAAACTATTTTAAGGCACATATTTCAACACCAAATTGAAAATATAGATTTCAATAAACTTATTAAAAAATGTCTATATTAACCTGAGGAATTAGTTATTTAATACATACCTCATATAACCCMAATTACTTTGCCTTATCTATATTGAGACTATATATGTTTTAATTAGCATATACATCGATGATAMACAGTCYATTTGTTGWTATTATTCGGCTGGTTTTTATTGTAAMATTTGTATTTTATTATGTATAGGTACATTTATTTTATATACTTTATGGACTATGTTTTTCTTTTTGGTGTGGGAAATAGGGAATGTACGTGTTTTCTTCAATATTTTTTTTTTTTATTAAGTTCATGGTCATTACTGTTAAGCATAATTTTCAAAAAGCTTACCAATGTTGTACACTTATTCTTCAATAACATACATTTTTAACGGTAACTTGTCTGCAGTACATTGATGACTGTTGTATATACGAATTGGTCAAACGGTKSCCGCCAGGTTATCCAATACGAATTTGTCTTTGGTTGTTCATTATTTTTATTTTTRTCCCACGTAAAGGTACCAACAACGATGACGTAAGGGTGGACGAACGCCAAGACGGCAGCTACACTATGGAAACTGTGCTGACGGCCGTGTTTGCCGCGTGCTTGGCTGCGTTGCTGACTGGTTTTCTGGCCGGTTACGCATGCGCCAGGCGGTGCACGAAGAGCGAAGACGACAATTTACCATACCCGGACACCGAATATGAATATTTCGAACAACGGCACAACATGAACGCGTGAGTACCCGTTGAAATAAGTACTAGGTATATAATAGTCGCACCACATGATCGCGTAATGTTCCATTTATACTAATTTTCCCTGGTCAATTTAGTGGTTTATAATATATATATATATATATATATATATAAACAGGTTCCATTAAAGTTTGTTTATAAATCTATATTTCTATTATGTTTTCCATTACCTACCTATAGCACATTTTTTTGTGTGTATGTGTAATGTATTTATGTGTAATTATTACTGAATATTAATAATTAGTTTTTTTTCCATTCATATACACATTTAAAGCTTATAGGTACCATTAAAATAAAATGACGGGGACTGTGTATAGGTAGGCACTCCAAAAAGGTTGTGGTCTGCTATTCTACTAATTTAAACTTCAAACTGTGCTCATATAATTATTAAAACTATTTATTTAAAACAAATTAACATTTTTCATACATTTTGCCATTCTGGTTGTAAATATGTTGACATTTAATAAATAAAAATTATCCCTATAACCTCTATAGTACAAAATTATGTTGTTTTTTTTTGTAAAACCTTTGCGTCAGTTGTTTTATTTATAAAGTACTCTAAACTTTTTGTTTAAAATCACTAAACCTTTTGTAACCATATAAAATCGATAAACTTATATTATCTGTGTTAATTTATTTTATTTTTTATTTTTTCTGTTGCAAAGTAATTTTACAGGATTTTCACTTTAAAACGCAAATCATTTTTTAACAGATTAAATGAGCACAGATGTCGAACGTTGAATTAGTAGTTAACTCATAAGTAGGTTCTACATAATCATTGATCACTCATGCTTTAGATGAACTATAACTACAACTTTTTTGAATAAAAATATCAAATAATCTTTGAAGGGAATAATTGGTTCATGATTAGACTAA